ATGGCCATACTCCATTACAGACTCCTAATACTCATCAAGATGAGCAGTTTTATGGTCCCATATCATCAAAAAAATATGTATAATGTTTTGCATCTCTTACCGGTTCGAAAATGGCCGAATCGCGCACAGTGCAGACAAATTCCGGCGCCGACATTGAGTATCTCAGTCACGCACCACCACCATTACCTCCTATTCAGTATGGCGGACAACATATATGTATGGGTCTTCATCAATTTAACTCGAATTCAAAAAACCATTGAATTGCAAAAAGAAAAAAAGGTTGCCAAGAAAATGTTGAAATCTTGAAGATGAAAGCCAACCAGTAGTGGATGTGTGAAGGACATGGAAATGGGAGGATTTAGGGATGGTGAAGAAAATGGAAATGGGAGGAATTGATGTTTTTATTTTGGTTTAATTGAAGTTGCCGTGGAAATTGACTCAGTGACGATGAAGAAAACGAAAAGGGGAGGATGCCATTTCTAGGGAAAACAAAACCAATCAAACACCACCTCAATATATTTTCCAAATGGAAAATTATGTCAATCAAACGCAACTAATTGATATTTCCTTGGAAAATAAGTTCTTGACAATTATTTTTCCTGAAATTCGTTTTCTTTCCACCCTATTTTCCATCTTGCAATCAAACAGACCCTAACTTCCTTTTTCAGAGTTTTCATTTAACTAAAAATGATCATTTGACTAAAAATCATAAATTGGTATCACTTGAATCTTTATATTTTATATATATCATAGTTCGAAACTTTATGTTTGAAAAATTCGGTTAACCCTGCTGGCTCATTCGAACAGGATCTAAATCTTGAAAAATCCCAAACAAACAAATTCTCAAACCAAACCGAATATTACACCTACTTCCGTCCTCTGAAACATTATTTGGCTTGTTCAAATCCTCAAAATGGCCATATTTTCTTTCTATTTAACTTTAGTCCATGAAGTTTTGCTAGCTTGTTTCTTTTTAGTTATTATTTAGTTAAGGTCATTTTATTCTTTAAACGTCGTGTTTAGATGAGTGATTAAGCTTCCAGTTGACAAATTTATAAATCTTATATAAATTATCAGTCTTCATTTTCAACTACACTTTTCAATGACCCACAAGTAGTATATATTTATCCACCACTTATTTTTATATAATTGTAAATAAAATCGTTAATAAATTCTTCCCAAATAGAGGCTAAATAAAAACTCGAAGAAGTTCTCTTCGCACTTCAACTGCAACCTGGTAAATTGGTTATCGGTGTGTTGATCACGTATACGTCTTGTTCGCTTAGTTGCCTAGATAAAAATGTTATCAAAGCTAAGCTATGTTGTTAGGTTTGTGATACTTGATGTCAACAGTGATAGTACATGACGAGGACGTGAAAATACGTCAACAAATGTTCTTGTAGACAAACACATAGACGGATGAAAGTGTTGAAGCAATATATTGATTGGCTCTTATGGCATCATGTCAGCGTGGTAAGTTGTGGAGTCGACAAAGGAGGACTCGATGATGACAATAACATTTTCGTTCATTTCAATCATGAGATGTGGATGGACATTTATTTGGGCGAGGAGTATGAATTGACGTCGGTGTTTGATAAAGTGGTTGATTCGGATTATGTTTTTTCAATGAAGAATGTGAAGATGATAATTATTTGGATTTAGGTGATGATTTTTATGAGGCGGCCAACGGTAGTGATTCTCGTGTGATGTTTTCATTAGGAGGAATAGTATCTTCATGGATACATAGGTTTGAACTATGAGTCTATTGAAGTAATGCTACAGGGGGACATTGGCTCGACCATGTGATACCACAATCATTGGAAGCACGTTTAGATGAAAGTTTGGATGAAAGTCATGCAAATAAAGGAGACATGAAGTGGATGCATTAAGGTTTCGAGACCATGTGGTACCACAATCATTGGAAGCAATTTTGGATGAAAGTCATGCAAAAAAGGAGTAAAAGGAGACATGAAGTGGATGCATTAAGGTTTCGAGGGAATGAGCTAGACCTGAAGGCGACACCGGAAGACAAAAGAGAGAGGAGAACCATGAACAATTCCTTGTACGGTGGAGTATTGCAAGTACGAGTCCTTATGTCACGCAGTGAGAATGCTTATCCCCTCATTCGGCACGGTAAAGACACTAAAAGCTAGGTGTGAAGCCTATTTTACAAATAGTACACTAATGATATATGATCATATGCAGGTATTCTCCCTAACATCCTACTCATAGCATGCATGTATGCCAGTTGTTCGGGCTTGCGGCCTCAGAATGAGAGGAAGGCGGCCTTGAGGCGTACCTCGAGAGCCAAACCTGTGGTCCGTGAAAGTTGGTATCAGAGCAGGTCCGCTCAAGCATGCAGTGTTGTTATGGGACAATGTCGTGTGTTCCTGTGGAGAAAAGATTTTGGGCCACGGATCGTGTCGGCAAGCTAGCGGAACACGACCAAGGAAGCTGTGGACAAGAAGGATGACAAAGGGCAGCGTTGCACAATTGCCTAGATGCCTTTCAAGGAGTTTTCAAGGAGCGTACATTGCAGGGATTTTCGACATGCGTTGAGGCGCTACGGTTTGGAGGCCTTCCACCCGAGGAACCAATGCTCAGAGAAGCAGAGGGTGAAGGTTGGTGTTGAAGGCGGTAAGTACGAGTTACTGCAGGTTTGTGAATGATTGTCCATATGGAGTGGTGTCGTTGTTATTCTTGCAATGAGACGGTTGCAAGTTGATGCGAAACTCACTTCTCGCTACGAGGACGTAAGCGAATTCAAATTGGGGAGAATGTCATGCAGTGAGAATGTTTATCCCCTCATTCGGCACGGCACGGACGCTAACAGCTAGGCGCGAGGCCTATTTTACCAATAGTGCACTAATGATATATGATCATATGCAGGTATTCTCCCTAACATCCTACTCATAGCATGCGTGTATGCCAGTTGTTGGGCTTGCGGCCTTAGAATGAGGGGCAGACGGCCTTGAGGCGTTGTACCTCGGGAGCCAAACCTGCGGTCTTTGAAACCTTGTTTGGTTGTTGTTTATAATTGGTCAAATTACTTTTTATTCACATATTTTGTGAGATTCACAAGTATTACTTCTATTTATTCTTAATTCGAACAATTTATAAACAACTCCTGAACAAGCTTGCTTGCACCTGTAAGCTCCAAAAGATGTATGCCCAGCTACAAGCAAGGCAGTAGAAACGAGCTCGCACCTAAAAAAATTGATGCTCTACTGCTCTTTCCTTTCTTGCACCTGTGGGGCAAGAACATGACTCTTACGACCCAACTATATATAAGGTAAAGGTCTAAAACATTAAAGGGGTTACACAATCTTACACCGAAACATATGCAACTTAAAAAAGAGTTCTTGGGGTTACGGTTTGAGTTGGTGTCACGAGTTCCAACATTCAAACTTCATATTTCTTTCTCTCTTCTAATATCCGGTGATGTATTCTAAATTCGTATGTTTTGATGACGAACTAAATTTTCATTCAGCTTATTTTTGACAAATCGATTTTAATTTTCACATTTTGACTCAAGTATGCTTTAATTTTGTTATTATTATTTGAATGCTTTCAATTATCTAGCACTTTTTGCCTAGGAGTTAGTTATTGCTTCTCGGGAAAACTTTTGTCCGAGTCTAGTGACTTGGGAGAAGTCCATCCGCATGGGGGTGGTGAACAAATAGTTGAATGATTTGTGGGATTAAGAGGTTATATACATTCAAATAAGATAAACGTAAATTATTAAATTTAGATAGGAGAAATTGCATAGAATATTTGTATGTTGTCAAAACCACAAGTCCTAACACTAAGGGCCTGTTTGATAACCATTATTTTCTATGAAAGTTGGAAAACTTTTTTCTTTTTCCAACAAATGTGGTGTTTGATAGGTTTTATTTTCTAAGGAATTGGTTTTCTTGGTTGAAGCCTCACGCGACCATTTTCCACCTAATTGTTGAATTGATTTTCAATGACAGAAAAAATTATCATTTTAATGGACAATTTCCATAAAAAACGAAGCCAAGCGGACACCAAACTTTCAACATTTTTCAGATGTAAAATTATACCGATCAAACACAATTAATTACAATTTCCAGTAAAAGAATTTCTAGGCAATTCAATTCTCTGTAAAACATTTCCTTTCCATCCATTTTTCACATTTGCAATCAAACGGACTCTAAAAATTTTCTTGAATCAAGACCATTTTGGCACTTTTCCATTGCTTTACAAGTTTAATTTTAGTTTTAGCTTAAAATCTACTCGAAACATAAAGTTAGAATCGGTCGATTTTGTTAATTAATAATGCAATCACCTAAAATCGAGTCTACTTCACTATTACTTTTAGCGATATTTTACACTCAGAACATTCTGAGAATGAAAAAATTCATTTGAACATCAATGTGTAATCAATATTTGCTTTGGACTGAAATTTTAGGAGAAGAAAGTGGATTGCCTTTTGACTTCAATTCAACCCAAAGAGAACTATGCCTTTTGACATAATGAGGGAGTAATGCTCAACTTTTTTTAGTTCCTTTTTATTACTTATTAAAGAATAAGGATTTAAAGGGAAAATTATACTATGATTCAACAGCAACACTTTCTGTTCTTGGCTTGATATTATTGAATAAAAAATATTTTGAGATGTGTCTCAATTTCCTAAATTCGCGAGTGTTCCCTGATACTTCACACTGCATCACAACCCAAACCCTAAACAATGCATATTCATGTTTTTAAATTACAAGAGGAACAATAGGGAATCAATTCCAAAAATATTGAGAATATTTCCTATATTTATATACACTATAAATACCCAATGTCCTTTTTTTTTTTTTACTCTTGGACTAGAATCTTAAACATGTTTTACATAGATACAAGAAACTGCCTAGGAAAGGAAACAACAAGAGAGCACAGGCGGCCGGTAAGGTTGGGATCAAGATTATTTGTTCAGTAACGAATTTCATTTCTGGGGTAATTATTTAAGATTTCTCCTTCTCGTCTACTAATTATTTGTACCTCTTTGAAGTCGAAAATGACAATGGTAGGTGCTTGAAGCCAGACACGTCGAACAACTCCATAAACCTTTGATCTGAAACTCGTGCTTTGGCTACTGCAAAGCGCTGGTATTCGTCAAAAACTGCAGTTAGACACCATCTTTGTAATTTTCTCAAGCATCCCACAAGACAACCAGTTCGGTGCTGAACAATTAAGCATATCGATAGTCAAGATAGTGATATTGATCGGCAAATTTTAAGGCAATATAGCAAATTTCTTACCTTCCCTCGTTTGCAATGGATCAATAGAGGGTGATTCTTCACATCTGAATTGCAGGAAAAGTAACATTAGAAAATATGTATTGAAGACTCGCACATAATTCATGTTAAATAGAAGTGGAAATATTGTAAAGAAGGCACCGAGGACGGCTCTTAATGCATCACGGATTTTATCCTCAGGTATGTTCACAAATGGCTCCTGTACACAAATTTGAAACCAAATTCAGGCAGAAAAATATGAAGCACGAGAAATATAAGTTTCTATCAAGATCTTAAAGAGCACCACCATTCTAACAAGTGAAAAAAAATTGCAAAACAATGTGGAGAAATCACTCGTGCTCTAGCGAAATTATACTGAAGATTAGCAGTTTGCATCAGAATTGTTACGATATCGAATGCAAATCAAAAACGGTAATGGAAAATAAATTCTTTATCTTATATCTGAAACATATCAGTTCCATTTTTAATAAATCAGTTAATGTAATATTCTCGAATTAGTAAATATAAAGACTTGATCAAGAACTAAACTAGATACTCTACAACTATTCTCTAAAACTTGCATCTGACATCATCTAATTTTCAAGATCCATTGATTGTTAAAAGTTAAGCATTAACACCCCTCAATATATTCCATTTAGGATAAGTACCATGGTAACTAATTGCTTGTTATATATCAAAATTATGCATTAGACCCTTTAAATTATTCCCTCTACAAATTACTTAATTAGGATGCATAGAATCTAGAAAAAAGACATTATTTTTGGTGATATCTTTTAAACAACGACTCTTCCTTTCAGAGTAGAAAAAACTAAGAAAATGAGGAAAAACATAATAATTCAAGAGGCTCCCTTTCTTCGACTGCTTTAGCCCCTGTTTGAGCCAATGGGCCAAAATGTATTTTGAAATAGTGTTTTGTTAGAGAATATGTGATTAAAAAAATAAGATAATGTTTTGAATTACGTGTAAAATTATTTTATGGAAAAATATGTATTAAATATGAATTTTTGAAAAATTGGAGGACAAACATCGGCATTTATAGAGTGGCACACAATCTAGCTTCATTTGCTACTTCTTCCCCAGCTATCCAAAGTTGGGTGGATTGTACTTTCTTTTCTCGCTCAGTTTTTATGTGAAGATGATATTTTAATAAAAAAATCAGTTTTTGATTGCTTTCAAGAATACAAATAAAAATCCTAAAATACACTGTATGTATGTATATCTATCTCTAAACAGAAAAAATTTACTGTTCTTTTGAAAAATAATTTTATATTTTTGAATAAATAATCAAACTGATATTGACTGAGTATCTTGCTGCTAAAAAAGTAGGCAAAAATCCAGAAAACCCTTCACATCCTCCTTGTCAATCTATTGGAAATATGTCATTCACATAACTAGAAACTCACATTATTTTACTCATTCGAATAATCAATCATAAAACAACAAATAGTATTAAGGCCAGTTTGGCCCTGAATTGGAGATCGACTTACTTTACATCCTTCGATCCCAAACTGAAATAACTTAATCCCATTCGACTTGAGAAACTCCATGTTGGGCACCGGATAAGGCTCAGGACACAAACATCTACACGCACACAAACGTAAATCGTCAATTATCGTACGCGTGCATCAAAAAGTGAAGAAAAAAACTAATATGGATATATGGTGTTGAATGACTTACATGATTGAGCTAAGATTGAGTGATTGAAGAAATGAAAAATTATCCGAGTCTGGAAAACCAGACCTGAAAATGCCATTATCAACCATGGCAAAGTTGAGAGGTGGAAGAAATAGCTCATCTACTTCACAATTGTCACCGGAAAATGACAGCTGCAGTGGCGGAGGCGGCGGAAACACAACCGCCACTTCTATGGTTCTGCACATGTCACTATCATTAGTTTCCTCATTTCTATCAAATTTCGTCATCAAGACTTATTTAAGTATTGCCTGTGGGATTTCAAATTCAGTTTGTGTATGTATAGAATCGAAGATTTTTGTTTGTTGATGGCAAATTCAACAACTTTTTGGTGTGTTGACAGTCACTCATAGAGGAGTTTTGACGTGGGAATTAGATGGTTGAAAAAAATGCGTGCAAGGTTAAAACTTGTTTTTAATTTATATTAGTAGAATTTACTTATAATTAAACTTTTTAAGCTCAATCGATTGGCTGCAAGGTGACGGATTTTCTCTTCTTGGATCAAATCGTCAACAACTTGTTTCAATTCAATCTTCTCCATCTCAACTACGTGGCACTTCATTGTTTTCTCTTGCAAAATTGCTTTTATAAATTTCTTTGAAGTCCACAATTAAAAGTTTTCTTAGAAAGTTAAAGAGTTTATGTGTTGTATTAACATCTACTAATTGGTTATGCTCTTGCCCTATTTTCTACATCACTCGATTTTTAGGATTCAACAATTTTTTACAACACCAAATATTTTTAGCATTGCATATATGCATGGATTGATAATGAAAAGTAGGATCCTTACCAAGTGATATGCTTTTTTTCTAAATATAAAATTGAAAAGAAAAGAAAATGTGTATTTTAATGTGTAGTATTATTAGTTCAGAAGGGGATAAAGAGCAGATTCTATGGAATATGCGGTGGGAAGTGCCTTTTTCATGTCACAAGACCAAATCATTTAAGGTGACCGAGATTGTCCCACTTCTGACGGCTGTGTTTCGTTCATTATTTTTCACATTTTTTTGTTTAAATCTAGAATGTGAACCTAGGTAGAGATGGTTGTCAAGAAATATAGAGTTGTTTTATTTTATTGCTTATTAATGGTAGAACAGTCTTTTAAGTTTCATTTGTTTAGTCTATATATAGTCTCTTTGTATTTACGTTAAATTATCATTTTATATTCTTTTTGCATGATGCAGAATCAATGAAACTCTAGCCTCCTCTTTGTTTTTTATTTCTTTGGATTATTTAACATGGTATCAGAGCTAAATTTCATGAGACGAGACTTAATCTCAAACAGAACTTTTGCGGTTCCAACTGGTATTTTTGCGGTTTGGTTTTTCTTATTTTTTGATTATGGCTACTGAAAGAGACGATTCGCTTCAGTCTGTGAGTGTGAGGTTGGATAGAAAGAATTATTCGTATTGGA